CACACACACACACACACACACACGCACACACACACACACACACACACACACACACTCACATGCGCACACACGCGCGCGCACAACACGCACACACACATACACACATTCACCCCCTCCACCAGGCGATGATGACATCATGCCCCTCGGCCCCCTGGGCCCCCTCGGCGGCGGCATCGGCGGCGGCCCCCTCATGCCGCCGGGCGGCATCGGCCCGCTCGGAGGCATGCACGTGGGGCCAGGGCACCCCTACTTCTCGGACCGGTGGGCTACAAACCTTCGGGCCCAGGGCGCCCCTCCTGCCTGCATGCTTGTCTCGCGACCCACCGCGCGGGGCAGATTGAAACCATGGACATGGGATATGGGGTGAAGCGGCGCAGCACACGCCCGAGCTGTGCGTCTGCACCCTGCCTTTGCAGGACACCAGGGGCCACCCTAGCTCGGTCTGGCTTCCCGTTCCGGCTAGCAAACCCTGCCACGCTTCCCCCCCTCCTCTCCCCCGGCGCCCCCTCGTCACCCGCGTTTGCCACGCCGCGTCACCGACCCATTCACAGGATGCGCCACCCGGACCTCGGGCCCGGCGGCTTTGGGGGCGGCGGCCACCCCGGCGGCGCGCGGTGGGACCCAATAAGTGAGCCGCACGGACCCCCGGCGCCCACGCCCTGCTTACCGCACTCGCGGGCCGCCTGCAGGGGTGGTTCCTCTGGGATGGGCAGGCTATCACTGGGACGGGTGGGAGTTGGGGGGGGCTGGGTGGAGGGGAGACGCGTTGGGGTGCGGGTGCAGCCAGAAGGACGGACGTCGCGCCCAGACCTCCTGTGAGGCGCAGCGGGGCTGCATGCGGCCGCGACGGGGCTGTTGCCGCGCAGGCGTGCGACTCGCAGCTAGGAGGGGCAGGGGGCGCGGCCAGGGGCCCTAATGCGCTGCTTCCCGAGAGGGCGGACACGATCGGCACGCGTGCGTGCACACACACACACACACACACACACACACACACACACACACACACACACACCTGCACACACAACCTCCCCTCCACCGGCCGCCCCCGCGCCGCTACCCAGGCCCCGAGGGTCTCCAGGGCTGGCGCCCGGACGACTTCCAGCCGCGCCCCGGCCGCGGCGGCCCCGGGCGCGGGGGCGTCGGCGGCGTGCCCGGCGGGCCGCCCACGCATCCAGACATCGAGCAGCCCGGGCCGGGGCGGCCCGCCGATTGGGACTCGATGTATGGCTGATGCGGAATATGGAGAGGCACGGCGCACTCCGGCCTGCACGCCTCTGCTTTGGCGGCGTGCCGCCGACCAATCGAGCGGCCGTGCCGCAGCACGCAATGGCTCCTGCCGTCCGAGAGGCGCGCCAGAGCGACTTGAACCTTTGGCTGGCCGGTTTTGTTTGCGGTGCGGCGCGGTGCCGCGTCCGAGCGCGGCAGGCGGCACTCGCAAAATCAGGCGGGCCGTCCCAAGGGAAAATCACAACCTGTCATATACGTATATACGGTTCGGCTTGTCGAATGGGGGCCGTACAATTGAAAGCGCCTGACAGTTGCGCCATCTACAGCCTGGGACATTTACGGCATTTCGAGCCTCTTGCGCGGGGCAGCATCAGGCGCGCTTTTCCGGCGAGCGCCCCCGGCTTCGGACGTTGTTGGGGCCGGTCGCGGCGGCGGATGCTGCATTGTTTGAACGGCACTCGGCCGCCACGCGTTGCGGGGTCTAATTAATTGAAGCAGCTGCAACGGCAGCGGGCCGCCGGCGCCTGCACTTGCTGCGCGCCAGACGCAGCGTTTTTTGCGCAGCGGGCGCGTCCCCCTCACTGCACTCCCACGCGCCACATGCTGCGGCGCACCCCCCCAAGCAGCTGCCCGTCCAAGGTATGCTGCGGCCGCGGGGCTGGCTTGGTGCGCGGTGCCTCCGGTTGAGTTGCCGGCCCCAGCATCAATTGTTATTGCCCCAAGCTATCACTTTATCTATGCCGCAAATTGTTTCAATGATTGATCATCAGGCCTTGGTTTTGCTTCATGTAGAGCGCTCCATCTTCCTGCTGCTCAAGTTTTCATCAAAGTTAAGGGGCTCAGCAGCTGCTTGCCTTCTGTTCAGGGGTGGTCGAAGGGGCGGGGCGAAGAAACTGAGGGTGAGCAAAGCTGTCAAAATCAACGACCTTGGATCCAAGAACGTGCCACTGGAGCGCTCCGCAGTACGGACGGGGCAGTTTCCGGTGAGAGGGCAGCGTCTGCATCCTGGCTGTCGCATCACCGCCGCTCAGCCTCGCAACGAGCCGAGCCATAGCCACCACACCAATGGCCGCGGCTCGAGCCCTTTTCTACTGGGTGAGGGCCCCAACGAGATGTTGAGTGAGCCCCTGCTGACTCAGAATCGCCCGCTGATGAAATGTTACCAAAAAAGGGGACGGCGGGAAGCTTCGCCCTCGGTGCAGCGCCGGCCGGGCGGCCGGGGTCAAAATTTTTGCCCGTGGGGATGCAGATGCGTGCATGTGCGCGGCAGCAAGAGCCCTTCAATGCATGCGTGCATGGCAATCGCTTGGCGGGCAAGGTGTTAAGGGCAGGTTGCGGCGCGCACGGGGTGTGCGGGATGCTCCTGCTGCCGCTGGCCCCGCGAGCAGCGCATAGATGGTAAATGCACCGATCAGCACGCGCACGAGCACAAGCACGCGCCGGAGCAACGCCACCTGCCCTCGTCTTCGTTTCAGAGGGGGCGCGGGCAATCCGTCCCCCAGATCGTCTCAGATCGTTCTGGGCGCGGGGCGCCCCCAGATCTTCCCGGGCAAGACGTGCCCGTCCGGATTCCGGAGATCTAGCAGGAGAACTTGTGCTTCACGACGTCGCCGAGGGTGACCAGGGGGTTCATGGTCTTCTCCACAAACGGCCACTCCTCCCCCTGCAGGGACTTGGGGACGGAGCCGGACCTGGCGGGGTGGCGCGGGGTGGGGCGGGGTGGGATCGCCAGGTCAGCAGCTGCGGAAGGACCAGGGTCAAACAAGGGGCGGGCGGCTGACAGGGGGTTGTCGCTGGACTAGCGGCACGAGTCTTAAAGGCGAGCGAGAGCGGCGCCGTGCTGCGCCTATCTCAATGCCCAGGCCCATGTCCTTGGCGGTGCTCCTGCGTTCAGCCCCAATCAACGAGGGGCGAAGCTGCAGCCTGGGTCGCTGCGGCTGCGTCTTTGGGAGCGCTGTCGAGGTTGAGGCTCTCACCAGCAGCCCTTCTTGCACTCGGGGTCCCCAAGCTCGTGGCCGTACACCTGAGGGTTTAGGGGGGGTTCACAGGGTTTCGTCGGGTTTAAGGGGGGTTTCGTAGGGTTGTGTGGGGTTGAAGGGGAGCTCAGGTGGTCATCGTCGGTGGTGTTTCACGGTGGTGTGTCAGGAGTATCCAGGGGGTGCAGCGCAGGTTGGGTCACCGTGGCGCGCGAGGGCGCAGGTGATCTGGCGACAGCAGGGCGCCCCAGCAATCTCAGAAGCAGCCCAGGTTGCCTGACAAAGTCAGGACGAGCCGCAAACAGGCGCCCCTACGGTGCGGGAGCGCTCCACCGAGCTGGACTTGGCGGAATGCATTTTAGGGTTTCCGAGGTGGTTTACGGCCCTCCGACGCTCTCGCAGTGGGCGCCCCCATACCCCGTGATCCTACGACGACCCTGAAATCTCACGTAGTATGCGCGGTTGGTGGTCTTGCCGGCCTCGGCAACCTCCCCGGGCGCCAGGCGCCAGAAGCCCTGGTGGGGGAGGAGCAAGGGTGGGCGTTAGGGTTGTTTTCGGGTTGAAGAGAGTGCCGCTTTGATTATGCGGTGCGGAGGTCAGGCATTCCAGGGATCTCTGTGGTCCGGAGCTTGACCGGGATGGTGTGCGACGCGAGGGCCCGCTGCAGGTAGGGGTGCAGGATTCGCAGGCGGCGTGGCGGTTTGCGGTTGGAACGAGGAGCTGGGTGGAAGCCGCGCGGCGCCGCACCTGGGGCTCCCACTTGCCCTGCAGGTTGTACACCATGGCGGCAACCAGGATCGGCACCTTGCAGTCATTCTGGTAATGGTCAAACAAGATGTTGGCGAAGATATGAGTACAGGGGGTTGGGCTGGGTGAAATTGCAGGTGAGCGCAGGCTGCGGGTGAGTGCCTTCACCTTGTGCAGGTCATGCCAGGTTGATTGAAAGAGGCGGTGCTTGAAGAACGGCATGCACCTCTCCTATGCAAACCAAGCAGATCAGCTCAATCGGCACAACGCCTTTCCTCTCTCTGCTGACGCGGCGCACGACGCCTCCGCGACGACGAGTGCGGGGCGCGATGCAAATTCAGCGACGCGAGCGGGGTGGGTGCAGTGCTGTCCAAAATTGCAGCGCACCTGCAGTAGCACGGTGATGTACTCCTTGGGGGACCCCTTGGGGGCCGGCGCCGAGGGCTTGGGCGCGGCCGTGGCTGCGGGCGCGCGCGGGGGCGGGGTCAGGGGGTGGGGTGGACACCGCGGGCTCGTTCATGATGGACGCCCGGCGGCTGGGCCGGAGTTCCCCGGGGGTGCGGCCGCCAGCAGGGCGCCGGCGTCAGAAAAGCGGCGCGGCGTGCGTGGACGCCGGAGGTGCTGTGCTCCATTGAAAAGGCCGTCCATGCATGCGCGCGTGCATCAGCGGGCGCGTGGCTGGCCGCTCACACTCCTGCGCCATAGCAACGCCGGCGTGGCAGATCATCACCGCCAACAGGAACCCCGCAGAGAGCGAGCGCCGCGCCATGGCTGCTGGCTGCTGCGACGGGGGGTATCAAAGATGCAGGGGCGGCGTCAACGCGTCAGGGCAGGGCAGGGGAACGACGTCAGGCATGGGGCTGGCGCGCTGCCGCCGGCGGCTCACGGCTGTTTGTTCTGGGTGACCTGTGGCCCCAGTGGGAAGGTGTGGCCCAGCCCCTGCACAGCGGTGCGCACCAGCTTTGCTGTGATGAGATTACTGTGGGTGATAGTGCTGCGCACTGCTGGATTTGGGGCGTACAGGGGAGTGGCGGAGATGCGGTGAGAGGCAACAGGTGGGGTGATCTGGGTGATCCCAACTCTCACCCGCACCGTGCGCGGCACGCCAAACACGGCTGTGTGCAAAGTAGCGGGTGAAACACATGACTGATATCTATGGGCGCGTCTGTGCGCCACAGGGCGGTAAGGAAACGCCGGCGTCTGACGCGGCTCCTGACTGCCAGGCGTGTGCCGTCCGAATGAGCCATTTCGGGCACGCACCTCACAGATGGCAGCTATATGAGTTTCCTAAGCACCACTCTAAGTGAACAGTGTAGGGAGAGCGTGCGTTTGCGAGTTTGGCACGGGCACTGCTGCGGCTGGCTCCGCTCACCTGAGTGACTGTCACACCCCGTCCGCGCAGAGGTGCGTAGTGAGATTATATAAACGCTCGGTAGCGTGCTCACTTGTGCTCGCTGCGCTTCCTGCAGATTGTTTGGGCAGGGTCCCTGGACAAGGCGGCCGCCCCTGCAACTGACAAGCTGTGAGCGACTGGGCATCGCAGGACACCAGCATGTATGGGTTGTCCCAGGGGACGCCAAACAAAGCATTAAAGTGTCTCGTTGTCCTTAATTGAAGGGCTTTGGGGAACGCGCGCAGAACGCACGTGGATGTTGATCTCAAACACAGTCAAACTCAGGCTCCTCGGTCGCTTGCAACAATTATTGTGGATGCAGCTGGGGGTTAGGACGAATAGGATCTCAGCCCTTCCTTAGCGACGGCCCTTGTGTTCCCAAGGCTGAAGAATGACAGACAATGAGAAAAAAAGACGAGCGGTGTACAGGGCTCGGTGCCACGATGTTTACAACGCAGCGCGCCGCCCATAGGGACACGTGTGTCGGCCCCAGTTTGCCTTGTGCAGAGTGACACCCGACCCGAAAGCACATTGCTGCAAGATTCATGGATATCAACAGCCCATTCAGCACGTGTGGTGCATTGGATTGAGGGCAAGGCCCATCGCTTCCAGTTCTTGGGCATGCGCCAGCCGCTCCGCCGCGTACAGGCGCGCCAGCTGCTCGCGCCGCAGCTGCAGCACCGCCGCCGCCGCCGTCTCCTCCGCTCGCAGCGAGGCGGGCGCTGCACCAGTGGCGCTGGCGGGAGCGCTCGGGGGCTGCCTCTGCGTGCGCTCGTGCCAGGCACTGACGACGCTGCCTGCGGGTTCGGGGCAGGTGTGGGCACGCGGGCACCGCGCTCGGGTGCCATGGACGGGGCGCCTGCGAGTGCTGTCTGAAATGTGACATTGTCACATTGTCACATTGCAAACGGCCCGGGAGTGGTGTTTTGCCTCTGCAATGATTTGAAGCCTCCGCTGCTCGCTTGCTGTGGCGCATTCACAGCAGCCGCCGCATGCGTGCGGACCACACCCACCCTGGGTTATAGATTGAGCGTATGCGGCCGCGTCTGCATACTGCTCGTTCTGCCGCAGCAGCCTCGTTATGTTGACTGGTGTTGTCATCAAGCTCCTGGGCCACCGCGCGCACACTGTCAGGGCGCAGACTTGGTCGCAGAGTTTGACCGGACAATTGCTCGACAGCTTCGGGCTAGACGAACACGCTAAGATCGTGTTTTGTGATGTTTGATGCTGTTATCGGCGTGATCAGGTGGCGGCAGTGCGAAAGCAGTGCTTGTTCGTAGTGATGCCGAATCCAATCCCTTTGTGCGCTCTTGGTTGCACTTGCTTGACTTTTAGAAAGTGATTGGTGCGCCGAAAGTGTTACTCTGTGTGATGTCCACGTGCTTGGAGTGCAGGCTATCTATTATTAGTTGCCACGTCGCTTCCAGGCTGCCGCGCAATCCTCGATGATTGTAGGAGTGTTAAGCGCCGTAGAGCGCTTGCTTGCCGCGCTGCTGCGACTGGCGTGGGGGATTACCGGGCGCCACGGCAAGGCACCCTGCGCCACACAAGCCGAACAAGGCGCTTTGCTTCGCCCCGTGCACACCGTCTGGCCGGGCTACGGCATCCTATTCTTCTGGAAACTTGGATGGTGAGTGAATCTCATGGATACCACGAACACGCACGCGGCGCCCGAAGCTGCATGCGCGGGCCAGTCACCCGGGCTGGCCAGCGTCTCCGTGCCCGCTGCGCCCCGTCGACCCCCGCTCCCACCCGCAGCGGCGCTGCCAAGGACGGAGTACTAGCAGTGAAGCATCTGATCTTGCTTTTCGCCTTCTATATACTCCCGCGCTTCCCGGCCGCAGCATGCGCTACCTGCGGGAGCACGTGCAGCCAGAGGTGGCCGCCGGCGCGGCGTTGACCGGAAGCTCTGCGGGCGCCCTCGCGTGCATCCTTGCGGCCTGCGGTGAGCGCCGCCGCCGGCCACGCGCTCTGCAAAAGCAGTTCTATCGATTTCCCTGGATGTTCAGGCGTCGGCTTGCATGAGATTGAGCTGAGCGGGCTAGGCAGCGCAGCACAGATGCGATAGCAGCAACATCCCGCTTTCACAGCGCATTGCAGCACTGAAGGGACGCAGGACTGCAGGGATGCAGCGTACCCAGCGCCCCCCCCCCCAACAAGGTGCACCTCGACCCCCACACTTCGTTCCCCCCTACCAGACGTCGACCCCGCCGCCGCCCTCAGCCGCGCCGCGGGGCTCTGCCACGAGCGCGCCGTCCTCTCGCGCCCCTGGGGGCTCGCCGGCGTGTGGGGCGGCCTCGTCGCTGACTGGCTGCGCGAGCTGCTGCCCGAAGACGCCGCGGAGCGCTGCCGCGCGGCCAGCGTGGGGGTGGCGGTGACGCGGCTGCCGCTTATGGAGACGGTGGTGATCCGCGACTTCAAGGTGGGGTTTGTTTTTTGGGGGGGGGAGGGGGGCGCTGCAGGTCGCTGCAGGCCGGGGGTGTTCGCATGGGTGGCGGACAGGGGGGTTGCTGCAGGCCGTGTGTTCTGCTGGAGTGTGAAGGGGGGCAGGCGCTGACGCCGGGGCTGTCGGGGCTCTGGGGGCGTTTCTGCAGCCCTGGACGCGAAGGCCTGGCATCAAAGCACCCGCGCTATTTGACGGCTTGATGCCGCGCGCCGCTGTGGTGTGATGAGCAGCTGGCAGGAATCTGGACGCGCTGATCTCAATAGTCAACGCACCCTCCGCAAATTGACGTGCTTTTCGGCAGGACAAGGATGACGTCATTGATGTCGCCATGGCGTCTGTCCACATCCCCTTTTTCATGGACGGCCGCCCCTGGGCCGCGTGCCGCGGCACGCACCTCTGCATCGACGGCAGCTTCCTGTGAGCTTCCCTGCGCGCGAGCGGGGGCCGAGCGGCGCGGCCGCCCGCTGCAGGCGACGCCGCGCGTCGGCCCCGCACAGCTGTTGGGGTGCAACTGTCGGAGCACTGGCTGCTTTTCGAATACCCACCTGCCCCCCACAGCCCGAACAATTGTTGCTCTCTCGGTCATCACAATCACTGGTGACTCGTCAACTGCTTAAGCAACGGCGCCCACTGCCTCGCCGACTTGCCCCCTCACTCCGCAGGTACATCCTGCTCGGCCGCACCAAGGGGCTGCTTCCAGAGCAGCCCCTTGCGCCCGCCGCCGCCGCTGCATACGCCGCAGCCGTCGCTGCGGGTCGCGGTGCTGTGCCCGCGGCGCAGGCGGGCCCGGCTGTCATCCTGTTTGACCCCTGGCGGGACGAGGAGCTGAGGCGGCGATGGAGCCTGAGCCAGTGCCTGGTGGGTTGGCCGGCGGGGGCTGCAATCAAGCATGATGACAAACACACCCATACCTTGTTGTGCCAGGACATTGGTGTCGGCCTTGGTGGTGTGTAAGGGCCGGGATTTTAGCGGTAGCTGCTGGTGGTGCGTGTTTGACGCGGGCGGGTGCGGCCCCAGGCGGGTGAATCTTTTATAACGTTCAAAGAAGGGCTGCGCAGATGCAGGTAATGACGCCCCCTGCCGCGCCCTCCGCCCATGACTGCGTGTGCGCAGGGACTGTTGGGGCCGGCGGGTGCCGAGAAGCTGCTCGAGGCTGGCCACGACTACGCGCGGCGGCTCGACGCGGCCGGGGGGCTGGCCGCGCTGCGCGCGGTCTGCGGCGCCGCCGCCGTGCCCGCTGCAGCCGCGGCGGCGGCGCGCGCCGGGAGCCAGGCCGGCGGCGGCTACATGGGCGAGCGCGAGGGCGAGGGCGGCGGCGAGGGCGGGGTGGGATCGCTGGCGCCCAGCCTGGCCAGCGCGGGTTCTACTCCTTGCGATCTCATTTGCGACGTGGCGCCTGGCGCTGAGCCCGCTGACCCCGCCTGGGGGACCTCCAAGGAGCCGCGGTCCGCCACCCACAACACTGTGGCCGCAACCGCAGTCGTGGCTGCGGCTGGTGGCGGCGTCTGAGGCGGGGTGGCGGCTTTTTTGGAGGCATGGGAGATTGAGTATAGGGCTGCATCACTATGGGACGAGACGCGGGCGGGTGTTTGACAGGGGATGCAGATTGGTTGTCCGAGGGTGCGAGTCCTTGGTCCTTGAGGGATATACGATGCTCACTTCACGAGTGTGTGTGCAACCAATTGTTGTGGTAGGCCTGCCGCTTGCGACCATTTCGGTCCACCAGCACCCCTCCTTCACCTACTGCAGGACCTTTCCACCACTCCATCAGCCATTAAAATCCTCAGGCCACACAACATTTGTACAGGGAAGCCCGTGCCGTCGCATTCGAAGCGCTTTCTTTGAAATTGTCACAGCGTAGCCTTACTTCAACTCATAGCCCCCTGGTTCTGCTGACTAGGCACATGTCCGCTTGTCCGCAGTGCCTTTGTACATCCCAGTGTCTGACCTGCGGTACGGACACTGCTGCACACGCGCCACTCGCGCTCCAACAGGCAGGCATGGCCAGGACGGGCAGCATGCTGCACCCCTGCCATCCCCACCTCCCCTTGGTCGTGGTTGCTGTTTCCAATCCACAGTACCTTTCAGCCTCCCACGTGCAACATCAACGTGCGCACGACCGGTGCTTACCGCATCGCCGTTGACGTACGCAACACACAAACACACACGCAAGCGCCGCCTGCGCGGGTGGACGTTGGCCCGCACACCTGCCACTCACTGGTCTCTCACACTTCATGCCCCAGCTTATCACCGACATGTGCAGGTTCTTGATTTTGGCCCGTCTCTGATTGTGAGGCCTGCTCTGATTTGGTTGACCGTGATTGCGTGGCCACACCATCATCATGCCTGTCTTCGGCCAGCCGTTCATCTTGCCTACCCAATACCTGTGTAACCTTTACAATTTATGTATTGGGCGTTATCGTATCAGGTCGCGCACACGCGCACACGCATACAACCACAGAACACAAGCAGGGCAGCAATGGGAAGGGAGGAAATGCGCAGTCCAGCATGCCACACGCCGTGCCGATAAGCGATGGTCCCTCACCGCGAGAACCGCCAGGAGCTCAAAGCCAACGGGAAACCCTTTGGAGGCAAATGTGGTGTTGAAGCGCTGGCGTGCAGCAAAGTGCAGACACGGTGCGAGGGCTCGGTTTGGTTGTAGCGCAAGTGTCGGCCGCGTCGCGCCGACACCGGCGGCGCACTGGGAGGTGCGAGGGTGAGAGTGGCGCGGCTGCGCCGGCGCCGGCGCTGCGGCCGGTGGCCTGCATGTGGCTTCAGGCAGGGGCTGTCAGGGGGCAACGACCGACCCGTCGGAGTGACGTGCGTTGACTTAACGTGCAGGTTCACCAGCACGAGTGCCTCCCAGCAAGCAGCTGGTGGAGTCGGGCCCCAGTCACACGCACCCGAATCATGCGGAGGAAAGCAATGGGGATTCCAGCATTGACCGGCCGAACTTGCTGGCGCATATGCGCTGGCAGTCCCCCCCCCATATGCCAGTGCGGCTGCCCGCCCGCAACACTTCAAAGTGTAAAACGATTGCAAGTCCTTAGGGTGGCAGGCGGTCGACGGAGCTGGAGGCAAGCCGACGGCGCCGCTACCTGTCGGGCCGGCCGCGACGTCCACAGGCCAGCGCGCGCAGTCCAGAGCCGCACGGTGAATGTTGTGCGCAGGAGGGCAGCAGGAGCCGCCGCAGACGAGTTGTGGGGTTTGGGGCCAAAGGCCAGCCGCGCAAGCCCGTTGGCCGTGCCCTCTAGTACGCAAAAGCAGGGGTTGCAGGCGACCACCCGTCCGGTTGCGTGTGGCGCGCTTGGCGCGGCGGCAAGCCGACAAAGTGGGGGAGAATCCGCAGCCGTGGGCTGCTATCGGGCAAGCATCTGCGCTCGGGGAGAGCCGCGGGGTGTGCCCGCCTGCGCGCACGCGTGCGTGCAGAGGAAGGGGGCATCTCCGTGCGAGCGTGAAGGGGTCGCACCTTCGAGGGCATGTAGGGAGCGCCCCTCGAAGCAATGAGCCCCAATGTCAGACCACGCAGTGGGCAGGATGGCTACACGGGGGCGCTTGCAGGGTAGGGGTAGGCACGCCGTGAGCACGTTGGATACGAGGTTGTTGCGTGCGCGTGTGTTGAAGGCGTAATCGCGGTGTTGCTTCATGCTGTGGGATGGCTGAATCTGGAAACGCGATGCAGCATTGGAGGCGAGGGGTCAGACACCAATCGGGGGTCAAACCCTCGCTCCAAAGCCAGACGCCGCTTGATGGAGATAGCATTCATTGAGCAGAAGGGGGGGCCGCATGTTGCACACGGACGGCAGGGGCTGCGTCCAATGAGGAGAGATGCGTGCGCCGGCTCCAAACACCAGCGGCGTGCGGACGGATAGGAACCGCTCAGCGTGGTGAGCCGTCCTCGGCCCTCAGTGGGCCCCGGGAAGCCGTCGCATTTTTCATACCACGGATCATGACAGAGAGCCGAGGACCAAAGCTCAGTCAGTCGCCTTGGGAGCTCCCCAGCTCAGTCCACGGGCCTGACCGACGGCGCGACGCGGCGACAATCCCGCGTGTGAAAGCTTGCGATGTGGGCCGCAGGTGGTGTGGGGCTGCAGGTGGTGTGGGGCTGCGTCGGGGCCGCCGCGGCTGGTATGCAAACAGCTGGACGCGGCCGCGCAGCTGCCCGTCAGTGGTGGCAGGAGCCGCACAAATTGGTGGGTCGCGCCGACATGGGTGCCTGCAACCTTGTCACACCGAAGGGATCTCGGCGCAGAGGCGTCCGGCCGCCGCTCCCGCAAGCTTTGATAGGAAGGACGAGGGGGAACCGGCTCCGACAGGCAGCGCCGTCGCTTTTCTGCACGCGTGCATCGACTCAGGTCGACTGCCTCTGCCATCAAATCGTCCGTCAGTCACAAACAAAGGTCCAAAATATGTATGTTGGGTCGTCGAAGTTCGTCCAATAAGAGATGGCCAAATTCTGGATCGATGCTGACTGTTTCGCTTCCCTGTGCAGCACGCCGGCTGCGCTGCGCTGCGCTGCGCACGCCCCTGCAACTTCTCCCTCCGCGCCGATGCCCGCAGCCCTAAACCCCCACGTTGCCCTCCGCCGCGCCCCCGCCCGCCGACCGCGCCGCCCCGGCCGCCGCGCGCGCGGCGGCCGCGGCGGGGGACAGCAGCTCTGTTGCGATCAGGTCGAGGCGCTCAGCAATCTCATTGAAGGGCGGGCGCCGCGATGGATCCGAGTGCCAGCACTCCTCGGCCAGAGCCACAAACGCGGGCGGGGCCGTGGGGGGGAAGCGGGGGCGCATGCCAGACTTGTAGACGCGCTCAATGACGGCCTCGCGGGGCAGGCCCGAGTAGGCGCGCTTGCTGCGGGTGCGTGCATGGGTGTGGGTGTTTGTGTTCGTTAGTGTGTGGGTGTGTGCAGGTGTGTATGTGTGATCGTGCAAGTGTTTGCAGTGTGTATGCGAGGAAGCGTGATCCGCAGTCACTTGTACAGGGACGTCACAACGCCTTCACCGCCTGGGGTAAGGGCGAATCCCTCAACTGCGCAGTGGGTGCGTCTGCTAGATCTGAGTGAGCGCCCCGCAACCTCGTTTCCCTCGTTCATGCCAAAGCGCACCACACTGTGAGGAATCTTGGATTCCCCTTGTATGCACCATCAAACGGTCTAACCAAGCAAAAGGTTCGCCGGCGTCCCCGCACCGACCGAGGCGCCCTACAAGCCTGATCCAACACCCATCGGCTGGCCATCCCCCTGTTCCGCCTCAAACCCGCCTTGAACCCACCTGGTGTACGCCTCCCACATGAGGATGCCAAACGCGTAGGCGTCGACCGCCTTGGTGATCTTGGTGCCGGCCTTGAACATCTCTGGCGCCAGGTGCGTCACGGTGCCGGCGCCGTCCAGGTTGACCGAGTGGTCAGAGTCGTTCAGGATACGCGTCAGGCCAAAGTCGGCCAGCTGCAAGAGAGGCAGGAGTTGAGCAAAGGACCGTGGGGCAGGGGGTCTCAGGGAGGGAGTGAAAGTGTCGGTCCAGCGAAGGGGTCGCAGCAGTCGCTGGGGCCACGCATGTGTGTGTGTGTGTGTGTGTGTGTGTGTTGAGAGGTTGGGGTAGCTTGAGGGCTTTGTTTAGAGGCGGCAGGGTAGGCGCGAGCGCGACGCATGTGGATTGGGATGGCACAGCCCCATCCAGTCAAACCACTGCTTGCGTCGTGCGTTCTCTGCACACGCGCGCATGGGCGCCTCTGCTCAGCTGACCATTGGGGACTTGCTTTAGAACTAGCCAAGGACAAGGCCATCTGATGAGCCCAGGACGTCCAAGGCAAACAGTCACAAGTGCAAGACAAGTATCAGCATCGCACCTTGGGGATAACTTTGAGGGCGCGAGAGTTGTCACTCTTCAGCAGAATGTTCTCCAACTGCGATGTCGTTGTTTGACGAGACAGGAGCAGCCACGTGACACAACGCGGCATGGCGCCCCAACCGGCTCTGGCTGCGGCGCCCACACGCCAACGGCTGTCAAGCTTCTCGCGAGGTGCAGTCCATAACGGCAGTCCGTGGCGGCAGTTTGCGAAGGCAAGAGACCGGCGCACCTTTATGTCGCCGTGCACGAGCTGCATCGAGTGGAGGTACTGCGTCGCGTATGCAACATCCAGCAGCACCTCTATCGCGGCCGACAGCTCCACGCCGATTGCGCCGCCGGGCAGCTGCCTGTGCAGCAGGCCGCCCTTGATGGCCTCCCGCAGGGTGCCGCGGTCGCAGAGCTGCGGCAGGGGAGGGTGCCAGGTTGATGTGTGTGTGTGCGTGTGTGTGTGTGTTTGTGTGTGTGTGTGTGTGTGTGTGTGTGTGTGTGTGTGTGTGTTTGTGCGTGTGCGCGCGCGCGCGCACGAGGCAAGAGAGTGTGTGTTGAAAAGGGCGGGGAGCCAGAGCAGCACGTGCTGCATTTCCCCATCGCCTAGACGTATGCAACCACTATCTAAGCACGCGCGCGCCAAAACATGGGGGGTCCCTGTCGTCGCCCCAGGGGCGAGCGCGCGTGTGCGTGGCTCCCGCCGCCCGGCCGTTGCGCCACCCGCCCCACCTCCATAACCACGATGTTGAAGGCCGTCGCCTCCCCCTCTGGGTCCTCCTCCGGCCGCAGCCGCCGGTACCGCGTCCTCAGCGCGCCGCCCGTGCTGGCGGAGGCGTCCAGGCCCTCGCACTCCACCATGTCTGTGAGGCAGGAGTATACGCTGACGATGTTGGGGTGCTGCACCGTCGACAGCACCGCCATCTCCACTGCATCCTGCATTGCCTGTCGGGTTGGGGGTTTGAGGGTGGAGGATCGAGGGTTTTAAATGGCTCGTACGTGCGGGAGGATGCATCGGCGGTAGGCGGGGGGCCACGCCCAAAAGGAGGGCAGACGTGGAAGCGGGGGAGCGCCGGGCTCTGGCGGATCGCAGCAAAACAAAATCGGAGAACAGCTTTGTTGCAGCGGACGCGAAAGGCGCGCCCCCGACGGTGTCAAGCGGTGCGTGCCGCGCGGCCGCTCGCTTGAGGCGGCAGATTCTAATTGCGCACCTCGCGCTCGTTGTTGCGCGTCGGCATGACCTGCGGATGCAATTAGAGGCGGCGGCAGGGAGCGGCCCGGTCAAAGCGGCGGCGGGCAACGGGTGAAGCGTGCCTCTCGCTTGCCACTCGCGCGCGTGCTCCTCGCCCAGCCGCGCCGCCGCCAAGCGGGCCGGACTCGCCCCGCTTGCGTTGACGGCGGCGGCCATGCGGCGCCATCGACTGTTCAAAACGCAAGCTTGCGCACACAACCGAGACCACCAGGCCCCTGGATAGTGAATCCCCCCAAAGCATGTCAGCGCTCACATATCACACACACATACTCAAAAACAAACACACACGCGCGCGCGCGCACGCGTGCGTACCTTGACGGCGACCGGCACGCGGTGCCAGCGGCCGCTGTAGACCACGCCGAAGCCACCGCGGCCGAGGCACTCGCCGACAGACAGCTCCGGCTGCGCGGAGACCTGCGCTGAGCTGGCGCGGCTCTTGCTGCGGATCTGCTGCTGCAACACCTGCGGCGAGGAGGCGAGGGATTCATGCACGGGGGTGCAGGTGTGGGGCGGCGCCCGGCAGCAGAGGCAGCAGTGGCAGGCGAAGTGCCAG